CTTTGTAACGCGGAGCCCCGTCCGAGAACGGCGCCTCGGGGCCGGGCCGGGGCCAGCGCCGACCCCACACCCGCGCCTTCCCGGGCGACTGAGTTGTTCTGCGCGCGCGCCGGTCCCGGGGCTCGAACTCGAGCCTGGGCACGGTCCCCGGGCTGCCTCGCTCCAGGCCGGCGATTGATGCCTCCGGCTTCGGGGGTGGAGACCGGAGTCTCACCGCCTTCACCCGTGTGCCGTGTAAGTGACATGGCGCAGGCCGAGGGACCGTCACCCGTGTGCCGTGTAAGTGACATGGCGCAGGCCGGGGGACCGTCACCCGTGTGCCGTGTAAGTGACATGGCTCAGGCCGGGGGACCGTCACCCGTGTGCCGTGTAAGTGACATGGCGCAGGCCGGGGGACCGTCACCCGTGTGCCGTGTAAGCGACATCACGCAGGCTGGGGGACTGTCACCCGTGTGCCGTGTAAGTGACATGGCTCAGGCCGGGGACCGTCACCCGTGTGCCATGTAAGTGACATCACGCAGGCTGGGGGACTGTCACCCGTGTGCCGTGTAAGTGACATGGCTCAGGCCGGGGACCGTCACCCGTGTGCCATGTAAGTGACATGGCGCAGGCCGGGGACGGTCACCCGTGTGCCATGTAAGCGACATCACGCAGGCTGGGGGACTGTCACCCGTGTGCCGTGTAAGCGACATCACACAGGCCGGGGGACTGTCACCTGTGTGCCGTGTAAGCGACATCACGCAGGCTGGGGGACTGTCATACATGTAGACACGTTTGTCATGACTAAGCCCCTGTTTGAAACACAATGTACTTCCTTGGCTAGAGACATTGAACGTTTGAGACGTGTTCCAAGCCAAGTACAGATAATTTCCTCCATTTTTCAATCCTGATTGCTTCGAGGAAAACCTCTGCCACTCATCTAGGCTTTTTCTAATGTCCCTCTGTAGTCAGAAGATACTGCATGCTGGAGACTCTAACGGAGGCTGCTCGGGAGGCTGAGGTGCCAGCATCACCGTCTGAAGCCATACCCAGTAGAAAACGGCTCAGGTGTTAGAAAGCCGGCCTTGAGGGGGAACAGCCAGAACAGAACACAGGCCCTGAATTCAAGCCCGAAAGGAAGGGAGAAACTGCATCCTTTGCAGGAAATTAGATGGAGCTGGAAATCAACATTTGTGCTCCTCTCCCTCAAATGAAATGAGAGAGATGACTGAGGGTGAAGGGAGTGAAATGATGGAAACCAAAATTGACTTTAAGAGGGAGTGGCAATAAAAAAAAAACGGGTTGGATTTTATGCATGTATGGGAATATTGAAATGAGCCCCTTTGTAAAGTTAATGTAATTTGATTTCAAAAGAGGAAATTGTCAATCTGTGACTGAGTCTTCCGGAGTGACCAGTGCCAGGCCAGTTATAATGGGCCTGACTGCGCAGGTCAGGACAGAATGGAGACAGGTCACCAAAACACTGGTCACTGTTGCCACCAAGACCGGCCAGTTGGGAAGTGGATGATGTGAGGAAATCTTTAAACCTACATCCTCACATCATGAATAATAATTCAATTTTTAGCACTAAGAAAGCTCAAGAAAATTATCACAATAGTATGACCATTTCAGGGGAAAAAAACAAACACCATGTTGAGACTACTGTGTTTTCCTGACATAATTCTTTTTTTTTTGTCTGTCGTGGGGCTTGAACTCTGGGCCTGGGCGCTGTCCCTCAGCTCTTCAGCTCAAGGCTAGCGCTCTACCACTTGAGCCACAGCGCCACTTCCAGTTT